GAGCTATATTTGTTCAGTTAATTTCTTTGAAAATCGTGAAAACTACAGATCACATTCATTTTTTTTTAAGTTGTTTAATTTCGGGAATGGTGCCGTAAAGCACTGGTCTACAATTATTTTTTTACCGAGAGCCGCTTAATTATAATGGCCATAAAGCCACAGGCAGGGGAGGGGTGGATTTATAAGTGGGATGGGTGAATAGCTTTGTTTAATAATCAAGAAAAATGCCTTTTCCGAAAGGCAATGCAACTTTACCAACGGCTAGCTTATTACATATTTATTCATTGAATAGAAGGAAATTCTCTGTGCGAAACTATCTCCAGACAACTTTTAATAAAGGGGTGTTGCAAAATAGAAATCAGAGTTTAGTGGTCCAGGAACCGCCTATTGGGAACAAGGGCCTTAAAGGGACCTTGAGAAGGGTTGTATTATTGTGAGTTGAGATTCAAAACTAAAATAAAATAAATGTTTTTCACTTCTTATTATCGCGTTATTCCGAAGAATATTCCGTGCATTAAGGAATCTTTGCCTCTCCAAGCAGTATACTCAGAATAACTTTTGGATAAAGCGCTCAGAAAAAAGGCAGAAGTAATATAACAAGCCGATAGTGAGAAACGAAGCCTTGAATGTAATTCGCGGGCGAATGCAACAAGTCTCCAATTATTATGTTGTACAAGTGGCCAATTATGATACGAAATAAATCGTGAAAAACTATCTATATCATCACTGGTGGAGAAGTATTTTTGTATCAAGTTCGATGTAAATTAGTCGAAACAAGGGTAAGTAATTGTCCAAAGTCTCTAAAATTATGCGTTTATTTAACGTTTTGATCTCTCTAAAATGGTGTATATTCCACATTTTTGTATGTAGAAATTTATATTTGAGCCAAATTCCATAGAATTTGGCTGAAATACGGTGGAGTAATTGACAAAAAAAAACACACACAAAATAACAGCTAAAATTATGCTTTTTTATGGCATCTTGACCACCCTATAATTACTAAAAAAATTTGAAAGTCCACCACTTTTGCTTGTTAATGTGTGGAACCTGTAGAAAGGTATATTTGTACTAAATCCCATGTATATTGGTTAAAACATGGCAGAGTAATTGACCAAAAACCCAAAGATATGCTTTTTCTGAACTTTATCCCCCACCCCCTAAAAGACTCAAGATGGGCAAATCCAACCTTTTTTTTTATGTCAACGTGTAGGGCGCCTGAAAACTTATATTTGTGCCAAGTTCCACCTTGATTGCTATAGATATGACCATACAGTAGCCCAAAAATACACATTTTGGAGGTGTTTACCTTTGACCCCATAAAATCATTAAAAAAGCCTAAATAAATAAAAAATAAAAGAATAACATCTAGATGTATTGGACCAATATATATCCATACCAAATTTCAAGTTAATCTACGGAGAAATGAATCGGTTGAAAAGTGTTTGGAAGAAGAAGAAGAAGAAACGATAGAAAACAGTTTGTCTCTCTGCGGAGACATAATTATTTTTGATAAAGTCGTAACACAGCTATACTGTCACTAATTTATTAGGGCTCAGTGATTAGTCTGCCGGACTGTGGATACAAGGCTCCGTAGTGCGTTCCCCGTTATCACCAAAATATAAAAGAATCGCGCTCCGCACTTGGGGACCATGGGCACATCATAAGAGTAACGGTCAAATCCCACTATTCGATTAGAGTAGCCAACGAGTTGGTGGTAAGTAATGTTACCTAGCTGTCTTCCTTTTAGTCTAACACTTCAAAATTAGGGAAGGATAGTGCAGATGGGTCTCGAGTAGTTCTGCGCAAAATTCGTTGATTAGCAGTAGTTCATACCCTTTCAACTCAATATACACTAAGTGAAAATTTCTTTTTTGCACAGCATTTAAAGATAGCATATCACAAAAGCTTCTAAACATTCACGCATAAGAAGATATGAGGTAGTCTATTGCTTTTTGTTTTTGTAATTAAGCACAAAGCTACATAATGGGCTATCTGTGCTCTGCCCACCACGGGTATCGAATCCCGGATTCTAGCGTTGTAAGTCCGCAGACATACCGCTGTGCCACTAAATGTCAGTCTATTGCTACTTAATGGGTAGTAAAAGAACCAAAACAAACACTGTCATAAGATATTTGCTGATAAAGTTCTCACTCTTTTTCAGTTTTTTGTATAATCAAATATCATTTCAACACAAAAAATATTTTGTTTGAAATACCAATGAAAATAAGTATTTAAATATAAAATATAATTTGCACTGCTCCTGTACATACTAAATAGGCCTTCATTGAAACATGGCATTTAAATATTCAACAAAGTTTTATATTTAGATTTAAAAATCGTAGTTTAAAAACAAGAAAAAAAAACAACTTTTCTATCGATAAGCCAAATTAACTAACAAGTAATAAAAGTAATAATCTCAGTTTTATGTCCAGTTGAAAGTTGAGATAAAAGAAATATATCTCAAGAGTAATAAATTATCTTCGATGCACCTGAGAATAGAAAGAGTTCATGTAATAAATGTATTGTGTTATATTCGTATACAATGCATAAAAGTGATAAGTTTTTGTTCGCTTACCCGGTATGTCCAGTAACAGAGAGAGAGCAGCTCGCATTCCCATGGGAACACTCATCACATAATTCTCCACTCTCCCGACACTCTACCACAGATAAAGACGCCACCTATATAAACAAAAAAGTTTAATGAACATTTATAAGTTTGAATATTTCACAAGTTATGGATATATAAAGACTTTCTATGTAGGAATAAAATAGAGAAACAATAAAACCTTGCAGCTTCCTTCAGTGCATAAAAACCTAGCTATTCTCAAGAAGAATTGCACCATTTATTTTCTATTAAAAAATCAAAAGAGTTAAATTATCATTATCATTATTTTGTTTTTGTGAAACAACAAAATTAATATATATTTCCTTAGATTTTTCCAACCAGTCACGTAAACAAAATAGAAGTTTTATATTATTAATAATGATATTTTATACATATTGTTGTACACAAAATAAAGAACTACAATTTTTCTCTGTTAAGTATTCATGTTCCAGCATCACAAACGAAAGATGTAGAAAGCAATCTTTACACTCATATTCAATCTATAGCTTTACCCTGCCATTCCGAATAACAGTTATCTTGTGCCATTTCCCATCTGCTACATTTTGGCTTGCTGTAATTGACGCTATAGCTGAGCGAGATGCGCCAAAAGAGAAGCGTGTTTTACCATCAACGATTTCAATAGCTAAAAAGTCAGACCTCCCTCCATTCTGTCTGCCGTAGTTATAAACAAGAAGAGAATTCTTCTTGTTTGTTACTAGGACAACGGAAATATCGTTAGTAGACGGATTCAAAGAAGGGAAACTCATGTAAGAATACTGGTGAAACCCAAACGTAGACTTTTCACAATGTCTTCCATAGAAGTTTGATTTGCAAAGACATCGGTAACCTGCAATGAAAAGAGGATGAATTACCTAAACACCGATGAAATGAAAAATAAATTACATTTCAAATAAAATAAATAAATATATAAACAATAACAATTATATTGGCTGTGAATAGTAGTGATAAAAAAAGCACACAGAAGTAAAAAAATATTACGATTATTGTTTGTTTTTGAATTTTGCGCAAAGCTACACGAGGGCTATCTGCGCTA